CTTTTTTAAAAACTCCATCATTAAATTTGCTACTGTTGTACTGAAAGTAAAACTTTACCACCCCATATCTATTTGCAGAAGTTATTACTCAATAAAAGTATGGGTATGATGAGATTTTACAGATATTTTTCTTCCTTCCTCCAAACTCTAACGTAGCTTTATTAGTTTTACATAGTACAAAAAAATAGATGTAATATTATTTTATATGTTTTACTCTGATTAATTCAATTCACCCCGGTTTCGTACTACAAGTAATTCCCATAACTTATACGACAACGATGTATGACTATAGATTAGATTTTACAATGTATACATAATTTTATTACTGTTACATAATATAAAAAATAGAAAAATGCAAATGTGATATAACTATAGGTGTTTATATATAACTTATGTTTTCCAATTGGTTATTACCTCAAAAAAAAAAAAGGTTTTCATCTCTCATACAAAAAATTTCAACTTTGTTACTCTGTTTCTAAACAAACATTGTCACAATCACAATGGAAGAACAGTACCAAGTTATACTAGAAATTCTATCTAACAATCAAAAGTGAAAAGCTAAAGTAATTATTCTAGAGAAACAATCACCAAAACCTTCAAGATAAGGCAATAGAAGGTACCAACAGTTGATGCTAATGGATACTAATGTAAGTTATGCATTTATTTGGTCATAATTTATTTTTTTCTTTCTTCGTTTAGAAATGAACTTTTTTTTTTTTTGGAAATATGTTCTCTCTCTTTGCTATATATATAATATACATTCTCACACTATTGAATTCTATCTTTTAATCTTTTAGTGTAACACTATCCAAGCAAGTCTATATGATTCGAATATCACAGTATTTGAAAATGAACTTGTTCTTGGAAAAACCTATTCAATCTCGAAAGCTCATATTAAAAACAACACTAGGAAGTACAAATATTCAACAGGAGCTCTATAATGGACAATTTATGGAGAGACTTGTGTTCAAGAGTTGAATGAAGATAACCTTGAACTTGTTTTCTCAACCTATCACCTCACTTCTTTCAATGAAGTTGAACAGTTCATGGATACCAACACTGATATAAGTAAGAAATTACATCCACTTACTTTAAAAGCATTTATTCTCAAAATAAATAATACTATTATATTTTATTTAATCGAATAATTAGGATTACAAGTAAAATAAAAAAAATTATTTATTTTTTATTTTGCAGACATCTTGGCAATTGTAATTGATATGATGTCTAAACGATTGATTCAGTCAAAGGATGGCAACCAAACTTGGGTACAGGCTGTAATACTTCTGGAGCAAAAATTCAAAACAATGATGTTAACGCTCTCGGATTTATTTGTTGACGGAGAATACATATTGATAGCAAAAAATATTGACAAAAAATCAATAATCTTTGCAACAAACGTAAAAGTCACCTCTTTTTTTGTATGTTTATATTATTTTTCCTTATTTAAACTCTTCTGTTTGAAAATGCATTTATATATTAAATCACTGACTTATATATGTTTAAAACTCTCTACAAAAGTTCGTAGTACCTTCTTCATGAATACTCCTTTCGTTGCAGCAAAAAAGTTGGTTGAATGTTATGTATGTATATTTGTATTTTTACAATTATTTTGGTTTTATTCGTCTTATTCACTCTTTCAGGAGAGATACAAATTCAGACAAAATCGATAAGTTGATTTTTAAAAAATCATACACTTAAAAATCTCCAACAAAACTATCTCCTCCAATGCGCAGTAAATTCACCTTAATACAAAATCTACATGGTTGACATTTACCGGTATTTATATATTCGTGTACACAATAATACCTATCCAACATTTTGTGGTTTCTATTTATCTTTCTTCATAAATTTTTTACAACCACATAATTTTTTCCCATAGCAGAGAAAATTTTATTGGGTGAATGACATAGCAACAATGGAAAAAATAGATTACAAAAGTTGGTACATGGCTTGCAACAACTGCTATTGGCGATCAAGCGCTGATTTTGGTGAAATATATGTTTGTATCTTTTGTAAAAATTCGAATTCTAAAGCTGTTCCTCGGTGAAATATATTTTTCCACACTTTTCCGGTTTATTTATGTAATATATCAAATATTTCATTTCCAAATAAATAATTACTCTCTTTCTATCTTAGGGCAAGAGTATATATGCAACTGTCGGATGTCACATGCTGTATAAATCCAAGCGCAATTGGTGAACCAGCATAGAAACTTATGTTCACAGATGCACAAACCTTGATGAAAGAGACAAGCTTTGTAATAATTCTAAAATTACGTTAAACCTCCAATCTCCTCCAATCTCTATATTTGGTAGATTTCTTCATAAAATAATTGCAATACATATTTTTTATATAGGGTTCAGAAGCAAACTTTGGAGATATAATTCAAAAAATGCAAAACGCTGAAAGAGCATTCTATCTCAAAGCGACTCAGGCAGAACCTAATCAATCCAATTACAAGTTTGATATCATCTCTGTGTAACCTTTAATTGCAGAAGAACAACAAGAATATCACCAAAAGAATGTTGATTCTGAAAAAAGTGCTGCAATGGAAAATATTGACATGGATGCTGATGAAAAATTGGTCACCTTCAGCAAAAAAAACTATTTTCAAGCTAGCTATTGACAAGCCATTTTTCAAAGAAAAGTATGCAGCCAGAAAGTCCCTATTCAAATCCATTTACTTCAAACAAAATGAAAGAAAAAATAGAATAGAAGATGGAAGAAAAAGATTGAGCTATTCTATCTATTGAAATAGCTCGAATACTATTATAAGCCAGTTTACTTTTGGAAGATAGTGAAAATAATGTATATTTTTGTTCTGGCTTATACACTTTTTGTAGCTTTCAACATCAATGAATGAAATTAGTTTTTGTTCAATTTATAGCTACATATTCATCTACAATTAATAAATAAATGGTTTAAGAATTAAAATAGCTTATAAAAATGATTATAAAAACAATAATTTCTTATTTTCAAAAACTTCAAATACTTTTTTAAAAATTCTACACATTCCACGCTAATAATAACATAATCAAGAGGAGGGGGAAAAAAAGAGAGAGAGCCTAGAAAACCAAGAAAATTGCCCATTTCCAAAAAAAACTAAGAAGACGAATTCTATAAAGAAGATATGCAATCAAACACCGCAAAAGTTGAAAAATGGATAATTCCATTTTCCATGGAATTCAAACCCTATCAAATAGGACATTAATGTAAGTAATCGTTTACACCCCTCATATTCAGTTGCCAACTAGGTTTTATGTTTGTGGGAAGAGATTCTACATTAACAATGCTTTATTTATATTTGACGACAAGTTCATGATTCATTGAACTTAAAATTCTACTTATAAGTCCGGGTTTCATTGAAATTTTTAATAAGTTCAAAACAAATTATATATAGTACTATTAAAAATAAGGATTAGTCTATATGTACACTCTTGGTGTATATTATTTTTTACACCAACTCACATAATTGTAAGTGGGTGTAAATAATTATGTCGTTGAAATTTTTATTAAGCTAAAAAAAAGTATATACAATATTATTAAAAATAGGATTAGTCTATCTATACACTCTTGGTGTACATAATTGTATACACCTCCTCACAGTAAATAAGCGTACATATAGCATTGTCCTAAAAATAAAAGAGTTCCACGAAATACATGGATGATAAAATTTTGATTGAAAATTATAAGTAATTTAGTAATGCAAAGTTTGACTTCAACTGAAAATTATAAGTAACTCATAATGCTTATTTAAAACTATTTATTTTCACAATGCGTAGATAACCCTATTAGTTCATCTTGTAGCACACGACAAACTAAAGACCAAAAAAAATAAAAATAAAAAATAAAGGATAAAAAGATCGTGATCTAACCGTCAGGGAAATTATGATGAGAGCAATTTTGTCTTTTGAACATATACAAGGATAAATAAGAAATATCGACGAAGATGGACATGATGATTGGACACCGTCGAAGAAGTTTGTGATATAACCATTGGGGAAATTATGACAAGGGCAATTTCATCTTTTTGTTGGGAATTTTAAGTCAATTCCTTTTGTTTCTATTTACCAACAAGATCTTTTGTTGTTCAAGAGAATATTAGCCAACAAGAAAAATAAAGAATATAATGTACAAATTAAACGGATCGTCAAAATTTTTCACTATATGAAAAATTGTTACAATCATATAAAATTTCACTCACCGATCCAATCCCCAAGTATTACAAAGAAAAAAATAAACTCGAATTTTACCACACCTACTTTTCTACCCAATATATGAAAAGTCTCAAAATGCTAGGCTCACAATATTTTTCTCTGATCAACTCTCTGGCCACCCCAAAATAATGAAATACATCCGCTATTTATAAGATCAATAACCAAATAGAAGAGTTTAATTTAAACTCAAATAAGACTCTTTAACTCAACAAGGATTCCTTCATGTGTAAAACTCCAAAATCGGCTGTAAATTAGAGACCAAATTCTGCAAGGATTCTGTTCTCAACTTTAATTAGAAGTCTTCCATACAATAACTACATTTTATTATTTGCAATAGAAGTCCTCCCAACTTTTGACTTTTGAGGCAATTACCCAACACTTTTGAACATGTAAAACAAGAATAAATATAAAATATCAACGAAGTTGGACCTGATGATTGGACCCATCAAAGAAGTTTTCTAGAGACGGGTGAGATGATTGGTCACCAACTTTACATTCTAGATGGCTCGAGTCTTCGGATTGAATCCACATAATTTGGAAAACGGAAATTGTAAGTGTCAAAAATATGTTGACTACCGTCACAGTGAACAAAATTTTAAGCTCTCTATTTTAATATTATCCTGTGTTATTCAATCGACTTTGATTTGTTCCTGCTCATTGATTCTTGCGGCACACAGTGCTCCTCATGCTACAGAGAATTCTGTTGCTTCTATTTTGAAGTAGTACCTATTTCTATAGATGAATCAACCTCACAAACACTTTCACATATACACATGCATATACTTTTCACAAGTTTGGAAATTGATATTTGAAAGAAAAATATACAACGAAGGAAACTCGGGCCATTTATGAAAATATATAGTTCCATCAGTATTCAAAAGAGACTCATTTAAATTAAAAATGAGAAGGTAGGCTCTTGAGAACATGAAATCTGATTATTTCAGTTGGTCGTACATTTGATGCACATTTCTATAACCGTGGAGCTGGAAGAGCGCGAGGAGCATCCCACTCGGTCTGAATGTGATGACGGGTTATCTCGTTAAGACTACGGCAACCACTCAACGCCATAGTCAGCTCAAACTCATCGCGCAACATCTGGAGTACTTTTCTCACACCGGCTTCTCCTTCAGCTGCCAATGAGAAGACCACAGGTCGACCGATCTGAGAGCAAGGCCACAAATTGAATTAGGCTGTTCGAAAATGAAAAAATTTCACAAAATCTATTCCAGGTTCTTGTACTTACAAAGATACCAGAGGCACCTAGTGCCAATGCCTTGAACACATCTGTTCCACGCCGGACCCCACCATCCAAGAATACTGGCACACGACCTTGTGCAGCTTTCACAACCTGAACTTGCATCAGATCAGTAGGGATAAAATGAATAGCAAAATAATCGACTCATGAAAATGCATCCACATGTTTCTTTGTGGATATGATATTTTCTTGGCATTTCTAATTATATCGTCTTATTTAGACGTGAAGGTTACCTCTTCCAGAGCCATGATAGTGGCTGGGACGTAATCAAGCTGGCGAGCACCGTGATTGGATACAATAATACCGGCCGCTCCATTCTGAATAGCAAGCCTTGCTGTATTTCATTGCACGTAAAAGCCATTTTACCATATACGAAAGAAGAAATAAGTTAAGAGAAAATGATATCGACTTCTCTAGTTCTTACTATCCTCGGCAGTGATTACACCCTTCACCAGGATCGGCATTGAAGTAATTGACTGGAGCCACTTCACATCCTGTCCATGTTCACAAAAAAACCATTGTCATAGTCTGCTTTACAGCCAAGTTATTGTAGCTTAAACCTATATTTATCTAGTTAGAGCATACATGGCTGTGGTTAAGGTAACTTAAAAAGTATTGTACCTTCCAACTCAAGGTACGATCGATTTGACCAGCAACATATGAAGCTAATCCAGAGTCATTAGCCTGCATCAAATGCACAAGTCAAAATAATGTGTAAATGTAATTGACTGATATACTAGACAAGTTAAAACTTTGAAGGAATGGTTGCCATTTACCTCATCCATTTTACCGAGGTCCAAACCCTCAAAATTCTTCAACGTCAAAAATGGTGGCAAAACAAATCTGTACGAGAGAAAATCAGATATTTTCTTGACAAATAACTCGAAGTGTAATAGTTCACTCTCTAAAGATGTAGTGGCTCGACCAACTCACGAGACACCACAACCTAGCATGTTTGGCAAAGCTTAAATTATAATTTAAGTTAGTCAAACATACTTTTTATCCACGCATGTCGTAGGGACCCACAATTTACTGCCCACTTATTTTCACATAATTGGAAATTTGAATAAAAGTTTCGCACCTGTTCTTGATATCAGCTTCTCTGCGACCCAACCTTGGTGTATCGACTGTAAGTGCTATGGCCTTGAAACCCGCCCTTTCGGCTCTCCTCACCAGTTGAGCCACAACATTCCGATCCTTGTAGACCTGATCAAGATTCAATAGATTTATTAATCCCACATACATATGAAGCACAAGATTATTCAATCATAAATTGTAAGTTGCAATTTCAATCTTACGTAAAGCTGGAAAAATCGAATGCCAGGTCCTGTTGAAGCGACTTCTTCAACACTAGAAGTAGCCCATGATGACAATGTCTGACATATAAATTTGCGATTCATGAGTAAAGAATGCTTGACATCTATACTCTAGAACCATTCATACACATTATGATATGATCAAATACAATCAAAAGAAAGAAGCCGAAGGAAGAAATAAAGAAAAGGAGATGAATCGAGGTATGCCAAAACAAATCTCCATAAGACAGATCTAGAACTTGAAATAGAGAAAAAACGAACCATGATTGTTCCAGCTGATGAGGCGGCTCTAGCTGTTGCATACTCTCCTACACAATAAAAAAACATTCTATCAGACTGCTAATCGTTCCTTCGTAGGATATATTCACATCCTCAAAGGGGAATACCCTCCGTACTAAGCAAGAGGTTTATCTAGTTGAAACAGTGTAATAGTATGAACTCTGGTAAAAAAAGGGCATACCATCAGGGTGAGCCATTTTCTGCATGGCCGTTGGGGCGATCATGATAGGCATCGAAATCTTGAAGCCCAATACGGTTGTGCTCATGTCAATTTTGCTCACATCAATAAGAATCCGAGGCCTAAACCTTTTTTTTTTTTTTTTCCCATTGGAGAGTTAATAGATAATGGGCCAAATCAAAAGGCGAGTACACCAAATCTTCATTTAGGAAGTTAACTTTAGCAACTTACAGAATTCTTGAGAAAGCGTTGTGATTCTCAGCCAGAGTCCACTGATCCTCTGCACCCGATGCATAGTAGTCATACACCATTTTTGGCAACTTTTCTTTGGCGATTGCCTGATACTCGGTGACATTAGTAATCTCCATCTCGCTTGTTGATTTTTCACGTGCCCCCTCCAAAAATCTTGATCAAACATATGGCATAACAAATTAGATCATTGATAATGTTTTGTCAGTTCAAAATCTTTTTGGTTGTGCAAAATTTCTTCCTTGGAACAACACATCATTAGTACTAGGAAAGCAATGAATCAAAACACAACTCATTATGTACAGAGATATAACTAGCATGTCACTCAACTGTGATGTATCATTTATCATTTCTAAAATCAACCAATATCTATGTTATCTATTATCGTCATGATATTAGCCAGTTTCATTCCTTTAACTGAGGAAGAACTTGCAAGTTGATGAAACTCGGCCGACAAATTTTCCATCTCCAAATGATCTCTTATCTGAAAAATTCCAAATTCTCCTTTTGATGGTTCGACTCTTAAATAAAGTTCTAGTTTAGGCAATTCAAAAGTTGGAGAAGGTTCTTTCTATAATGTTCAAATTACTCCATTAAGTTTCTTTTATTCTATCAATGCCTCGAATTTCTAAATTCCCAAAGCGTCGTTCCCTCGAATTCCTTCCTTAGCCTGAAGAATAATTTTTATGGATTAAGATATGAGCACAAAATAAAACCATATAAAATCGTGGACAATAATTACTTAAGTCAAGCTAGATCTGACAACACTAATTGCATTATAATGAATTACATAAAGACACATATTAAGAATCAAGCTCTTCCTTAAACTAATGAAATTCAAGAATCAAAACTTAGCTAAGAACCCACATTAGATATCGAAGTGTTGAATTAGAAGAAGTGCAGAAAAAAGAGAGAGAAGTAAAAGCACACCTTCTGATTCAAGACTTGAGAGAACAGTACATGCAGAGGGACTAGTAGATAAACCTGAAAGAAAATGGACCCATAAAAAAGAAATTGGAAAATACAAGTTTATTAAAATGGATGTAAAGAAGAAGACAAAATTGAGGATGAGCCATTGGAGGTGAGAAATCAAAGCCATATCCAAACTGGGTTAATCTCTACCACATGAGTCCTGTGTGTTTCTAAGTCATTCTTCATTATCATCAAACCTATATACATAGATTTTTCCAAAATTTATATTTGCATTTAAACCCACACAATCTTGCACTGTGTTATGCGTAATTTTCATGTTTGTGTGTCAATCTTGAGATTTTCTATTGGATAATCGGGTACTGAAAGAGAAGGGTGGTGAGGGGTCTGAGTGTCCTTGTCTTCTGGAAAAGATCGACACTCTTGAAGTCTTGTACATTTCAGCACTGACCTTTTACGGTTTATTTTTTGTGGTAAAAAAAAAATCTTTAATGTTTAAAACGATTTTAAGTGATGGAAGGAAAACAAGGTTAAAAGTAGAGTGATGTTGATTGTTGAAAAACAACTTTGAAATTATGGTGACTATTTAAGTAATTTTAAAGTTCAATGTCCGTTGAGAAACAAAGGTTGAAAATACGGTGACGATTGGAATTTTCTACGTGAAAGTCGAATGGCTAGTCTCATATTTTTCCATTGTCTGTAAGTTGGTCTCGAACCTCAATAGTGGAGTTAGTCAATCTGAATCTTCTAGTGCCTGTTTGATAAAATTTTATTAAAATTTTGCCAACTTTTTAATTAGTCAAACTTCAATTTAAATCACATGTAATGTGATTTATAACTTTTATTAAGTTTTCAACTACAAAATTTATCAATTTTTCTCAAATTTTTATAAAAAGCTTCGTCAAGACGACCCCTTAATATAATCAAAAATCTATTAAGGCATATGTAATGCACTATTTTCAAACTAAAATAGGTAAAAAATAGTTTTAACAACAAATATGTAAAAGGGAAAGGGAGAAAAGAAAAATAAATTCTAATTTCCTTTTCTTCTTTGCTATTGAAAACAAGAATACAAAAAATTATAAAGAAACTGCCCATGGAGATTGGTTAGTGTTTATGCACCATTTCAAGGAGTGCAAGAATCAACTCGCTCGCTTTCTATAAATTGAGGACTAACTTACAACTCAAACAAAAGGATAGACTATTTTGAAGGTGGTCAAAGGTGACGTTTTCAATTTTCTGAAAAATTAGAAAACTAACTTAGCATTTCTAACCCACCTTTTCAAAACTCTTAAGGAAAACAAAAGGACTACCTAAGATACAAACACAACTTGACGCTTTCTTTATTAAAAACACATTAAAAATCGTCAACAAGACATTACACAACACAACGCAACGCAACACGATTCAGACACTCTTGTGAACGAGCATTATGTCGTTTACATAGGACGTAAAATTCTCCGCTATTTCAAATGCATTCGTGTTTATTCGCAAACATAACACAATTCCTCACTACTCTAAACCAAGCCTCTTTTTCCACTCGACAGCTATTTCATAGACAATTTTGGGATCACCAAGAGACTTGGAAACGGTCTTCCTCTCCAAGCACCTCTTTACCCATGCAATTAGCTTGGGGCACTCAGCCTCTATACTGAAATTCGCACAGGTCTCATAGGTATAAAATATCATGTAGTATCCAATAAGAGAAATATCAACATATCCAAAGTTTTCCCCTCCAAAATAAGGCTTATCTCCTAGTGCTCCTTCCAAGGCCTTCAACATTTCGAGCAATTCGTTCTTGCTTTCCTCTACCTCTACTTTGTTCTTATGATATGTTATTTTCCACCCAATATCGCGTATCTGTAATTTCATAATCCCACAATTATTAAATAGAATTTAAATAAATTTCTCGATAAAAAGGTTCAACATCACATTATAACATAGAAATATCAAGATTTCAAACACGTTACAAATGTCATCCATCTAAAAGTCATGTCAAATATCCAAAGATAACATAGACAATAGAATTTATATTGCAAGGACAATTTCTCGATTAGTCCACACATCTTACTCCAGTTGAGTAATAGTTAGTAAAGTACAAGTAGCTCTTTCGCTCTTCAAACATTAATTACAGTGTAGTAGTTAATTACAATAACCATTCGAATTGCTATTAAAGATCACTATTTTAATGAAAAATTCGACTATTTCTGCCGTTGAGTGCTGATAGTGCATTTCGAGTAAATACTCATTTAAAAAGGTTTAGAATGGTTTACTAGAAGAACAATATTGGAAATCCATGGCCTAAAGGAATATTGTTGGAATCGTTAGAGATGACCAAGGAAAATGGATAGCAAGTTTTGTAGGCCGTATTGGAGCAAAGCTTTGGCCTATATTTCGAGGCTTGACACTTATCTTTAGGACATGTAAATGTTTTCTTGGAAACAGGTTTCATGGAAACTATTTTTCTACTAAATAAAAGGGGCGGACGTGATTGAAAATTCAAATAGAGCATTGGTTGAGGATTGTCGCCTTCTGTGGTAGAGACCCAATACGGCAATAAATCACACAATAAGACAAGAAAATAATTGTGGGACCATCTCCCACATATGGGAGACATGCAAGATGAAAGTATGGCCGTGCTATATAATCCACTAAAATCCATTAATCTTTTGGTTGATTTTGTTTGGAGTTAGCGAGTATTTTTCCTTTTTAAAATTAGTGTATAAGAAAAAAAAAAAAAGCGTACTACATTATTAAAATATTCTAATCCACTCATACATCAATGTCTTTATAACTAATGGTTCTAAATGGCGTATGCCGTGGTAAAACGTAGAAGTCAAGTCTGGAGCATTATGAATCTAGACTTAGGGTGTGTGTGATTGGAAAATTTTCCATGGAAAATGGCCTTTTTCCTCCCAAATTCTAACTTTTAAAGTGTTTGATTGTCATTTTTTCCATGAAAGATATTTTCCAACTTCTGCAAATATGCCTAGTTTTTCTTGTTTTTAAGGAAAACATTTTCTTTGAGGGAAGATAGGTTTTTGTTTTCTTCAAAACAAGGTTTGGAAACCAGATCCTATCAAATAAAGATAGGAACCAAATTGATTTTAGAATATTTACATTCCATAATTGGTGTAATGTAGAATAAATATTGATTTCTTTCTTATTTTAGGAGAGTAGATTTTTTCCTTATTTACCAACTCTTGTACACTATAAATTGTAAACCCTCTCATTGTATAATCAATTATGAAATAAACAGTATAATTCATATTTCATTATGGTATCAGAGCCAGGTTGATTTTAACCCAGTCAATATATGGTCAAATCAGCTCCTCACGACAGGAGCTCCATGACTTCTGACTCAAATGTAGAAGCCATGTTTGCCATGAACATAGGGGGAATTGAAAACTCAGCCTTTCAACTCTCAATTGAGAAACTGAATGGGAAGAACTATAGAGAATGGGCATAGTTGATAAAGCTAATAATCGACGGAAAAGGGAAACTTGGATACTTAACTGGAAAAACCAAGGTGCCGGCCTCAACCAACATGGCTCTCCATCAAAAGTGGAAGTCGGAGAACTCGATGGTGACTGCCTGGCTTGTCAATTCCATGAAGCCGAGCATTGGAAAAACATATTTATTTCTCCCATCTGCAAAAGAGGTTTGGGAAGCAGTTAAAGAAATGTACTGACTCTGAGAATTTTTCCAGAATTTTTGAAATCAAGTCGAAGCTATGGCAAACAAAGCAAGGAAATCGAGATGTGATGGACTATTACCTGGAAATGACCGGATTATGGCAAGAATTAGACATGAGTACTGAGGAAGAATGGAAGTGTGCAGAAGATAGCGTGCGGTATTCAAAGAAATTGGAAACTGAAAGGGTGTTTGAGTTTCTTGCTGAACTTCATCGTGATCTAGATGATGTTCGCGGCCAAACACTTGGCCGACGTCCCCTTCCCTCTACGCGAGAAGTGTTTTCGGAGGTGAGAAGAGAAGAAGACCGGCGGAAGGTCATGTTGAATGAGTCCAGTGCGTAGGCGGTGGAAGTGTCGGGACTGACCTCCAACAAACTTGGGCCATCTGGATATGGGTTGAAAAATAGAGAAGGTAATAGGCCTATTGCTGGGCCAACTAATGGCAATAATGGGCCGACTGATTTGAACGGTGGAATGGGCTTGAATATTGGACCAAATAACTTAAATGATGGAACTTGGATGATGGGCTTATATTCTAAGGGAGGCACATCTGGGCCAGGCCCAAAACAACGAGGTCGGCCATGGTGTGAGCATTGTCGAAAGTCAGGACATAAAGAGAATACTTGTTGGGATTTACACGGGAAACCGAGTGATTTGAAGCCAAGAAAAAATAATAAAAATCGTAGGTATCAAGCATCTGTTGATTACCAAACAGGAAAGACCGAGTCGAGCGGTGCATTCAATGCCGAACAAATGGAGCAACCATACAAAATATTTTTTAGCCTCCAATCATCAAATCAAACATCCACAAAAAATCCCTCTAGCTCATTAGCTCACAGAGGTAATTTTATGAGCGCTTTACAATCTAAATCTAAAATTTCTTGGATTATTGACTCAGGAGTTTCAGACTATATGACTGATTCCTACCGTTTGTTCACTACATACTCCACCTGTGCTGGAAATCTGAAAGTTAAAATCGTAGATGGCTCACCGTCATCAGTTGCAGGGAAATGGAGTATAAAAATTTCTGACTCTATAACTCTAGAACCTGTCCTTCACGTTCCAAAGCTGTCATGCAATTTACTTTCCATAAGCCAATTGACAAAAATCTCAAATTGTTCTGCTAAATTTTTTCCATCTTGCAGTGTTTTTCAGGACCTATCATCAGGGAAGACGATTGGCAGTGCTGAGAAAAGTGATGGACTCTACTACTTTGACGAGGTTGATGTGGGTAAACAAAGTCAAGTTACTATTTGTAATTCTACATCTGTTTCTAGCGATAGTGATATTTTGTTATGGCATTTTAGAATGGGTCATCCAAACTTTCAGTACCTAAAACGTGTACTCCCATCAATTTTTATGAATAAAAATTCCATTCATATTCAGTGCGAAATATGTGAATTTGCAAAACATCAACGTACATCATTCCCAACCTCCACGTACAAACCTTCCAAGCCATTTACTACGATACATAGCGACTTATGGGGTCCCTTACGAATTCCTAATCGAACTCATGCAAAGTGGTTTGTGACGTTCATTGACGATCATACCCAAATTTGCTGGGTATTCCTACTAAAAGATAAATCGGATGTTTGCTCTATATTCATCAACTTTTACTCCATGATCCAAACACAATTTCAAACACAGATTCAAATTTTACGTGCGGATAATGGCACCGAATACTTCAATACCACCTTGAGTAATTTTCTCCAATTACATGAAATAATTCATCAAAGCTCTTGCGTTGATTCCCCCCACCAGAATGGGGTTGCTGAACTCAAAAATAGACACATTCTAGAAGTTGCTCGAGCATTGATGTTCACTTCTAATATGCCAAAAATGTTCTGGGGGGATGCAATTCTGACATCAACCTACGTAATCAACAGAATGCCGAGTCGTACCTTAAATTTCAAATCTCCCCTAAAAAAACTTCAAACACTGTTTCCTACCTCTCGTCTCAACTCCAACCTACCCTTACGGGTGTTTGGATGTACTGCCTTCATTCATATTCATTCTCATTGCCGAGATAAATTGGATCCTCGAGCTGTTAAATGTGTTCTGATCGGTCATTCCCCTACTCAAAAGGGCTACAAATGCTATGATCCTTCCACACAAAAAAATACTTGTAAGTCTTGATGTTACCTTCTTTGAAACGACCCCGTATTTTAAAAAAACCTCTCTTCAGAGAGAGATTGCATGAAGATCAGTTCCTAGACATTGACCTCATCTCTCCTGAACCTACATTTACAAACAACCCTATACCACCATCCAATATGCTATTAATAGCTATGATGCTCGAACTCGGGTACAGGTATCCGGTATGGGTACATATCTAGGTATCGGATCTTTTATTTTCTAAAATATAAGATAAGGGGACATGGTTAAAAAGAGTCCAATTTTCAAACTCAGGTACGTGGATACGTCTTTCAAGGCTCAATTTTTTTTTTACTAATTCAAGAAGTCATTTTGAATAAATCAAAATCTATTATTCACAAAGAAGGAAATGGATATTGAATAAGGAGTTGAGACGAATAAAATAGATTTTGGGGTTTAGTTTTCAATTATAGACATTATTAAATGTTATATAAAATAGCAAATAAAGGACTTGATTATAATTTGGACTTAGTGGAGAACTAATTAGAAACGGGAAAGAAGAAAAGGAAAGGAAAAAAAAAAGAAAGAAAAGCAAAAACGAAGTGTCCGATTAAAATTTGGAGGATCCGACACATATCTCGTACCCATACCCATGTCGTGTCGTGTCCGACACGGGTACTTCAACTATTTCAAAGAGTCTGAGCATCAGAGATTAATAAAGCACAACTTACAGCCAGGGGGAGATGTAGAAAAACAAAGTAATGAAGACTTGTTGGTTTACTCACAAAAGCCAAAATCAAAGTACAAAGAAACCATCACATCCGAGGCATCAAAAGAATAAGAACTGATGATGGCTCCTCAAGAAGCTTCAGATATTCCTGATTTACCCATTGCTCTCAGAAAACCTACTCGGTCATGTACTCTTCATTCTATCTCAAAATTCATGTCATATAATGCTTTATCTACTAGATTTCGTGCTTTTACATCTCATCTTGATAGCACAGAGATCCCGAAAGATATTGGAGAAGCCTTGGGAAGTCCTAAATGGAGGGAAGTAGTATTGGAGGAGAT